AGCCGTAGCAGAGAAAGCCGCCGTTGTGAGAAAAAAAATAACTGGGCAGTCAGCAGGAGAGCCAGCCTGGTGGCATTGCTTGTGCTGCTGCTCTCATCCACAGTAAAGGCAATGAATTGTGACCCACAGCTGGATAGGCACGGTCAGAGCTGGGCTGGGGGCCCCAACACCTGCCTCAAGGCACCCCACAGCCAGGGCCAGGTGTGTGGGAACGATGGAGCCTTCCTTTTCCCTGTGGGCCCTGTCCCAGGGCTGCAGCACCCTCTGGGGCAGAGATTTTTCATGTACCCATTGTCCATGTCGCGGTCATGTGGGTGGCGTTGCTCAGAAGTCCTCTGCCAGCCCCAGCAGCCACCACGGGCACTAAATGCACTTTTCTTTAAACCAAAGAGTTGCAAGTTTCCCTTTCCACCAGAGGCTCCCTTGCAGGCTGGTGCACAGACCCAACAGAGGTGATGCTTTGTGGGGGCTGGCGGGCAGCCTGGCAGGGAAGGGGGATCTGGAGGGGAGCAGGTGACAAGCAGCAAGAGCAGCAGCTTGTGGTGGTGCTGGACAAGTGGGTTGTTGATAAAGATGTACACGCACCCAATGGAGTGAGCGTTGATGGCGTTTCACGGCCTAGCAGTGGTGGTTCCCCCTGAGGACCGGTGGCCCTGGGCCATGAGCCCGGGCTCAGCTCCACAGGCATCGCCCTTGGATGCAGCGGCCCCAGCTGCACAACCAGCTCCGATGCCCATCCCTAGGGTGTGCCATGGTGTTGCTGCCCCTGGCTCTGCGGGGATGTGCTGCTGCATCTGTCCCCACGGGAATCCCTCTCCTTGCAGCACCTCCTGTCAGGGTGGATGTCATCCCCCTGCCAACAGCTGGGACCTGGCTCCTCTGCCCCGCGTGTCTGCCCTGGGCACAGAGACCACACTCACTTCCCGAGGAGTGCCACCTGCTCGCAGACCCCGACAGCTGCCCTGTCTCTTTGGGTGACAGCACCAACCCCAAAAGTGACTGTCCCCATCTCTGTGCACCCCCAAAGCCTGGGCATGTGGTTTCTGTTGTTAATGGAAATTATAAACCAACTCTGGCTGAGCCTGGGTGCCCAGCCCACGTCCTCATGGACCATGAGGGGCTGGGGACATCATGTCTCAGTGCAGCGCCAGCCATGGGGATGGTGCACCCTGGCCCATCGGCGCCCATGCTCCCACTGCCCCCGTGCTCCCTGTCTGCCCTGTGGCCCCACCAGGCGCTGCTGCCTTGGGGAGTCACTTTCGCTCACTGAACCTGCAGAAGAGCTCCCAGCAGAGGCGATGCTGGCAGCACCCTCTGAAAGCACCGCCGCCAGCAGCACCCCCAATTGCCATCCTTGGCATGGCTCTCCCAGGGTGGTGGGCACCCACTAAATACCGGGGCCCTGCCCAGGCAAGGAGGGGTGCGGCAGGCAGGGGTGACACCCGTAAAACTTTTTGTTATGCTTTACGGGTGCTGTAACCATGGGGCTACAGGAGAACAGACATGTGGCACATCCTGTCACGGGCACAAGGGTCTGCCAGCCCTTATAAAAACACTGTCAGGGTTGGGGTGAGGATGGGTGGTGGCTTCACCTCTGGTATCAGGTGATGGGGTGAGCCAAGCATCCCCACTGTGAACCCTGCCTTGGTGCCCCCAGCATGGGTGGTGTCAGGGTGTTGGGGTGGGGGGTCACCTTCCCGCAGGCACTGCCATGGAATAGTGATCCATAAGGTTTATGAGGAAGTGGCAGAGCTCCTCCTGTCCTGTCCTGTCCTGGTGACGTACCCCCATCTCTCTGCTAACAGCCCCAGTGCTGCCCCACGTTTGGCAGCACTCCCTTCCCAGGCCAGTGAGCAAGTGGGTTTTAGCCCTTCAAAACACCTCGGCTCAGAAGGGCTCCCTGAATGGAGGTACGAACTCCATCAGGCACACAGGTGGTTGGGAAGGGGCTAGCACCCTGCCGTGAGCCAGAGAAACCCGGCAGGAGTCTGGGGAGGCACGTGAGGAGCCAGGGAGCCCCTCGGGGACAGATGGACACCTGGGGTTGCATTGCTGGCAGAAGCATGCAGCCCAGGGATGTCAGGGACTGCTTTGCAGGAGGCAGGCCTGAGCTGGGCTGCAAATGGGATTTTGTGGGACAGAAACATGCCTGGCTGGCAGACTCTCCCAGCACAGTCTGGGGCCCTACAGCCGCATCCCAGAGCTGCAGGGACATGGACTTAAAGTGCACATCCTCAGCACAGATGAATTCCCCTTTCCTTTCCTCCTGCAGACATCGGGTTTTTTACCATTTCTGTCTCTCCAAGGAAATGTACTGTTTTTATAACACATGCTATAAATCCTGCTCTGGGAAGAACGCGTGTGAGCCAGAGATGCTTTACTTGCTGCTATTGTGTGTTGGAAGGGCTGGGTGGGAATTTAATATGTACTTGTTTAAATGTAGTGATAAAATTTCTTCCTGCTGCCTTTCAGAGTGACCTGGCTTCCCTCCCACTGCAGAGGCGACACCAGATCAAGCTAAGTCAGTGGAAAGTTCAGGTGGAAAAGCCCAAATTCATGGCTGTAAATACTTGTAATCAAAATTCAACCTTGACTCTAAGGCCTTGGAGGCAGGGACCACCTCCATGTCTGTGTGCTGCCTGGCACAGCAGTCCCTGGGGGCCTCAGGGAGCATGGGAGGCCCAGGAATAAAAGGGCTACTCCCAAATGTGGCACCCATCAGCACCCCAGGACAGAAACATGCCTGTGAATTAATACTTGTTGTATTCACACACTACAAGTTGAATTTAAAATGCTCCTTTGCTAGCAAATAGCTCTTCACTCATGTCCAGCATAACCTCAGGGATTATTTGGAGAGGATACAGTAATTTATTTGGGAATTATAGAATTAGTTTGGTATTTATTTTATAGACTAGGCTTAGGTCACACACAGGTTCAGCCCTGGCTGTGTTCATAACAGCAGAATTTTGTCTGAACAACTAACGGTGCTGGAGTCCTCCCAGGGGGTGTCACGGCATGAGGATAACATCTTTTGACTTGTGCCTCATACTGCTGGTCCTCACTAGGGAGAGCTATGTTGCTTCTTTTGCACAGTTTAAATGGACAAAGGGAGCTGTAGAAGTTCACTGATATGGGTCTTGTATTTGGAGCTTAATAGCCTGTTGTTTATTTTTGATTTAAGAAAAAAAAATTGTCATAATGAATCTGCCTGCGATGAGCTTCATGTAAATATCTCCAATTCCTTGCGGATGCCAAAATCTTCAGATAATTTATGGTAATATTTGCCTAAAGGCAGTGATGGAAGATGAACCACTTGGTTTTATTCTTCTGTCTCTATACAACCTGCCTGTCTTAGAAATTCTGTTTTAGTTATGAAACTTTTATTTTTAATAATTGCCAAACTCCTGTTACCTCAGCATTATTTTTATACTAGTTTTTATATGTCTGAGGTTTAGACCACAGTTGACAGGGTAATGCTCTGTTCCTGTTGTTTGTGGGCGCTCTGCTTGCTGGAGACGTTAGAAGCTGAAAGTGTTCCCCTGAGAAAGGGATGCTGTCAGCTCATAAAAGCAAACGCCACAACTTTCCCTGTTTTATTACAGTCCAGCACATGAGACTCAGTTCACAAGGTCTTATCTGCCAACTGCTATTTGTTATGCTGCTAGAGTAAAAATTGCAAAGGTACTTTAAAGCCATGGGATATCATCTAGTTTGTATTAAAAGGGATCTGATCAAAGGGATTTTACAAAACATGGTCTAAATATGTCCGCCTCTGCTTTGAGAGAAAATAGACCTGAAATGGTCACTGCTTCAGCAGAAATGTTTTAAGCAGAAACACAGGTGTTTTAGAAGCATCTAAAAAACCCCCATGGTTTCCTCTGTCCCTGTTAAGGTAACTTGGCTCCATGCAGCAAAAGGTGTGAGCCTTCAGCACCCTGCTCCACCAGCAAACCTGTGGCCCTCTCCCACTGGGGCTGCTATCTGTACCAGGGGCCGAAGAGACACTCCGGATCAATGCTGTAATGCATCTTGGCGCAGGTTTGATGGAGAACATATTCATCTATCTTTTTAACGAACTTAAGAGTAGTCTCTTGTTGTTTCAGCTGAATTTAGCCAGGAACTGACCTAAGCTCAAGGCCATGTTTCAGACAAGGTAAGAGCATCCCAGTGCTTTAAACTCCTGAGAATTTGCTGCAGTGGCAGCAGCACTATTTGGTGTTTTCTTAAGGGGTCACAAAAACTGCCAAGATGACAGCACCTGGTGGGCCAGCAGCAAGGTTCAGAGCTGCTCCTCTGCAACCCTAGTGCATGGTTGCACTGGGAGGACAGTGGGGGAACAAAAGGATTGGGGGAAATGGCAGTTAGCCAGACCCCAGAGCCCAGGATTTATGAGATGAAGGTGGATGTAAAGCTACCTTTGCCTGTGGTTCCCGAGAGGGAGGCACCATCTTAACCTTGCGAGTGTGATCTGTGGGGGCAAAAAAGACCCACTGCTCATCCCATGGAGCCTGCCCAGTCTCTCCTTGTCCTCACGCGGAGGCAGAGGTGACATTTGCACAGGGCTGGCAGAGATGGTGCAGGGCCCAGCGGGTCCCTCCTGGGGCAGACACAACGCCTTGGGCCCCCTGGGCCTATGTGCAGGGCACTAAATCGGGCCCATCATCTCCCTCCAACAACTTCAACAAGCACCAGCCCAATTCCCAGATGTGTCTTGGTGTTTCTGTTTCTAGGTATCATTTGAGGCTTCCCATGAGGACTCTAGCTCATCTCTGGCTGCTGTGTTTGTGGGTTCAGAAAACGGACACAGCGACCATGGCACAGAGCCGGGGAACTTGCTCTCTGCAACGCTGCTCTGTGTGCTGGGACTGCGAGCACAGCCCTGTGGAGGCAGAAGCAGCTTCTTCCCCCTCCCACCCAAATTCCTCTGCTTTCATTACTTTTTTCTTGCAGTTCAATGACCGCTGGCCTTTGTCTCGTGGTCTGGCAGAGCCTGGTGCCACACACACCAGAGAGACAAAGAAATACACTGGCTTTTCTCCCTGAGCCTGCTATGAAGAGCCCACATTGTGTTTTACTGGGGAGGGGGAGAGAGGCAGAGGGCTGAAGTGTTTTGCTCGGCCTTGGGCTCTGTAAAACCCTCTGTTTCTTTAAACACATCAGCCCAAAGCTCTGGCAAGGAAGCGGTGACCCTGAGGAAAGGAGCCCCAGGGTTACACTCTCCTGTTTGAAGATCAGGACCATGAATTTTAAAATAATGGAAGCAGCTCTTTGGGCAGCACTAAAAGCACAGCCAGCTCTCAGCCCCACACCCATGCCCAGACCTCCTGGACTTTCACAGGCTCGGTCAGGGACAACCCAGGCCAGGAGAGCAGTGTTTGCTAGGATATGAGCCTGGACAAGGATCAGGGAAGTCGCCTGGAGCTGCTCATCAGCAGAGGCAGAAAGGGCCAAGGTTTCTGGTGTTCACACCTGATACTGCTGCTCCTTCCCACCCTATCAGCCAGTACAGCAGACCATTCCAGATCATTCCCTGTAAAATACAGAAGTCAGAATGATTTGGGGTGAAATGGACAGTAAGAATAAGCAGGAAAGAGAATTTCAAGACTGTTCAGGATTTGATCTGCCAAATGCTAATTTTTCTGTTCCATTTTAAGAAAAGGTCACTTTCAAGAGTGACATCAGAAAATGGTTTAACAAAGCCAAGCTAGGACCTTGTCTCTGACTAGAAATGGTGTGCTTTGATGCATTTCTTGGCTAATCACTGAACTAAGATACCTACCAGATCAAATTGCTATCGATGGAGAAAAATACTGTTTCTTTCATGGAGAAAACTACTGTTTCTTGCCTGCTGACAGAGAGCCCCATTTATAGCCAGCTCTTAAGTGAATGCAAATATCCTTGGAAAAAATCGAATACTGCAAGATTGTTGACAAACTATCTCCACACTAGAAACACCACTGCCTAAAAGCATGCCCCCTATCCCTGCCAGTCCTACGAGAGAGCACAGATAACTGTGCACTGCAGTTCGCAGTGCCATAAATGCGAGAATTTCAGTGGTCAGGTCTACATTTAGACTCAACATACTCAAGCTTAACACTGGGGAAATAAATTTTTCCCATACCTGTGTTTGAAGCTGTTACAAAAGCTTTCAAGAGCTGATGTAAGGAAATGATCAACATGGATGGGTTTCTTTCACACCAGTATGTGAAAAACTGTTAAGTAACATGGTAGGTATTGTCTCAGTGGTCACATCCATGGTAGCTTTGAGGAACACAGGAACTGCCAGGGACTGTGTTTGTCCAGCAACCCAGTCTTGCCTCTTCAACAGGACATTTTTGAAGATGTCCAGACCTTCATCCTACCCCACAAGCATACGTATAAGGCTCTTATACTCCTCACATTTCTCCACAGGAGCTGACCATGGTAATAAAATGACACCTTCTGGGCTCTCCATCATGAGCATTGCTAAACTGTCTTCCTGGTAACAGTGGTGACTTGTTCTGAGTTGCACTGAGTCTGAAATTCAAAAAAGGCCTAAGACATAAAGAAATTATTGATCCCGTGCTGCAGTGAAAAAGGTGTAAATGGAAACATATCACATCAGTAATAGCAGACAGCTTCAACTTTGGCTCATCCCATCTTATTCTTGGGAAACAGCGTGGCTAGGCAATAAAACACAGTGAAAACCTGCTTTCTTCAGCATGTTCTCTGTGTTTATCAACCACCGCTTGTACTGTGCCACCAGGACGAAAGACGCTGCTTGCTGCTCTTGCTGCTTGTCACCTGCTCCCCTCCAGATCCCCCTTCCCTGCCAGGCTGCCCGCCAGCCCCCACAAAGCATCACCTCTGTTGGGTCTGTGCACCAGCCTGCAAGGGAGCCTCTGGTGGAAAGGGAAACTTGCAACTCTTTGGTTTAAAGAAAAGTGCATTTAGTGCCCGTGGTGGCTGCTGGGGCTGGCAGAGGACTTCTGAGCAACGCCACCCACATGACCGCGACATGGACAATGGGTACATGAAAAATCTCTGCCCCAGAGGGTGCTGCAGCCCTGGGACAGGGCCCACAGGGAAAAGGAAGGCTCCATCGTTCCCACACACCTGGCCCTGGCTGTGGGGTGCCTTGAGGCAGGTGTTGGGGCCCCCAGCCCAGCTCTGACCGTGCCTATCCAGCTGTGGGTCACAATTCATTGCCTTTACTGTGGATGAGAGCAGCAGCACAAGCAATGCCACCAGGCTGGCTCTCCTGCTGACTGCCCAGTTATTTTTTTTCTCACAACGGCGGGCTTTTCTTTCACCGCCCCCCCCCT